TTTTCTTTCTGTCACAAATCTTTATTAGCATAAAACTGGTTCTCTTCTAATAAGTTTCCAAACTGGGGCAAATTATGGTTTACTAAATTGACAAAAACTGCGAAAGTGGCAAACAGTCTTAGAAATACTTTTTCATGTAATGTGTAATAACAGGCGGTCATCTCAACTACTTACAGGAAACTAGAACTTTTAAACATTTCTTACATTATCAAGTACACAGTACATAGACTGGGCTACTTTTATGTGCTCTGTAAAATATTATAAACACCAAGTTATTAATTACAAATTAAGTACTACAAATTTTCAGATTCTATTTTTAGTCACTAAAAGACTCTGTTACAAAAGCAGACAATACGACTGTACTGACTCTTGCAAGTAACAATCATGAAAACCTTATGATATCTTATAGCATGCAGTGAAATACAAGAAATCAACATGTAGGTACCAAAACAATGCAACATTCATATAAACTAAATAATGAGCAACTATAGAATATGTAAACATTGTGTAATATTGTATTTGCCTGCATGTAATATTCACGCCTTCCCCCCAAATACTTCCCCAATACTGACTGTGCATTATACTTGCACATATTTCTAAAAATGTTTAATACAATGACTGATGTTCCCTGTATTTAGAAATGATGTTTTGCATAACTGATGTGCAAAAGAACTTTCTACATCAATCTAATCTTCCAAAATTTGGATGTATATTATAATTGGAGACACTTTTATTCAGTTAAATATAATAAACAAACAGACTCATAGAAGATGAAATGCTAAGATTCGTTATTATTATTATTATTATTATTATGTATACAGTGCCTGAAGTGAGGATGATTTAATTTCACTTATATTTGTAGGATTTAAAATTATCCCATTTCTTTAAGGTTTAAAACATAAATTTTAGCTTTATAACATAGTTATAAGTCTTGATAAAATTTAGATAGGAAATTGAAATGTAAATTAAAACTGTGATAGCATCTGCTCTGAATATCTCCCTTATCTAAGGCTGACTCAAGTAGGGATATTGTACCAACAATTAAATAATTACAATTAAGGGAATGTAATAAAATATATTATCATTTCTTTCTGTAGCTCTAGTTATCTAGTTTAAAGCTACATAATACTTTTCATGAGAACAGAATAGCAACACTGTTCTAGGAATGAATGTTGAGAAGTTTAGCCTAAATATATTCATTTGATATACATTTAATCAGTGAATTATCCAGTGAACTTCACCTTACTCTGCCACAACAATAAAAAATACTTGCAAATTTTACATTTGCTGTCCTTCAGTTTTGCTTAGGTGTTTCACTTTCATTTTAGTTCCAGACGGCAAGCTTTCCTGCAGCTTTTAACCCTTCAGCATGAGATCATTTTCACTGTATATCTTTTCATTCTGGTGGGCTTATTGATAAAAATGAAATCACACAAATGTTGACATTAGTCCTGTTTGGTGGCATGTTTAAATTATGCGACACATTTAACATAACAACAAATAATAATGTTGTAAATGTAGCATGGTGCTATTTATATTCATTCCACTAGCATGAGAAACAATATATAACCAATTATTTAGTGTAAGTTACTTACATCATCACATATTAATTATATTGCACATATAATAATTGAAACATCACTTGTTTCTATAGCAGCAGTAATTCGTTCATGCCAGGATGCCCAATTCAAATCAATATCACAACTACTTGTAAGTAAAAATACTCAGATATTCTCATTTCGTGATATCAAGACACTTAACATAATACAAAAATTTGTGCCCCCAAAATCCCAGCCAGTCAACAAAAGTGCAATTCTGCACATTGGTTGAAGCCTTATCACAAGTACAGGGGCAACAGGAATCTAAATAGCATTACAATTTTTCTACATCTGCAGGAAGCTATTTATATAATGATCCTGTACAGTCATGAGAAATTTGAAGAATATTCTGCTGGCTGCCATTACATTTTCTGAAACCATCTCTACTGAGTTTCTGAAACTGTGAATTGATACAACTATATTTTAAACAATTCTTGGGAATCCAGTGCCCCCCCCCCCAAGTACACCTAGAGATTCAAATTTAATGACAGAAGAGCTGTAATGGTATCTGAATATTTCAGATTACTGCAGCACACAACTTTGTAAAACTTTTCATATTTGATATCTAATTTAATTTTAAATATGTCATTATATACAATACTGTCCATGTTGTTGTTGTTGTTGTTGTTGTTGTTGTTGTTATTGGAGAGGGTGGGTTTGACCAACTGTTGGTCCATTGTGCGTCCCCCTATGATATTCTACCAGTCTCTATTCCCTACCGGTACTGGTGCGTGCCATCAGTCCTGACTCAGCCAGTGAGTTCGGCCTCTACTGGCTCAGCGGTATCTCGATGCTTCCCCCATCTACCAGAGGTGTTAGAGACTACTGTTGGGCGGGAAATGTCCTGAATTTGGCTCAAAGGTCCCCTTGGGACATGAGGTTCTTTTACGTGCCGTAAAGCTATGACACGGGACCCACGGCTTAAAGTCCCTCCCGGAGGACTTGTTCCCTGAGTTTTTCCGCCCTTAAAAATTCCACAACCTCCGCCGGGTTTGAACCCGCGTACCTTGAGTCATGAGGTGGGAACGTTACCCCTAGACTATGGAGGCCGCTCTGTCCATGTTTAGTAAAGGAAGAAACAACTCAGATATTAACAGCAGCCACAGTTCTCCAAACTCCCCAGCTTCCCATGAGCACCCATAGTCCCATATAACATATTTTTTATGTGTATTTGTAGGCATTTACAAATATCATTCTTATCTTTACATCTCTTCCTAAATATTGGAGATAATCAGCAGTAAATACATTACATAATTTGAAAGCTGAATAATGGAGATATAAAGAAGGAACTAACAATACAGGGACCCAAACATACAATGACAGATGACAGCATTAAATATTTTTCCCACACTGTTACAGCTATGTCATCAATGTGCAACATTCTTATTCTCATCACTGATTTTTGTTTCTGTTAAATAATTCGCATATTTTCTCTAACCAAAAGTTCTGTTCTTAATTCATACATTCATATGCAATTAGTCAGTCTTTGTAGTCATATTAAAACACAATAAAATAAAACAGTATACATTTTGTAAGTGTACACCAAACTAAAATGATTACTAAAATAAATGGCACATATTTGAAAGACAATCCTGCTTATAACAGAATAAATTCAATTGACTGTGTAAAATAACATTACTTGCAAACACAACAAATAAGACAACAGATTTTGTGTTCCAATACATTACATACATAAATAAAATTACAGCATTTCAGCCTCTATGCAGAGATCTTCAGTGTTGGTATATGTACTGGCTTATAGTTCAAGCGATAACAAGAGAATGCATTTAGATTGGCAGTTGCCACATAATCGAAAACAGGAAACAGGTAAAAGCTGAAAGAATTTACCGATCTGACACACTTATATCCTCCTGTGGGGAGGTTTGCATGCATGATGTGTCTACTAGAGGATTAGAATGTTACACTTGACCTTGAATTTTCAGTTCTTCAATGTACGGTATTCTAAGAGGTATACAGAATTCATACACCATGTTTGATTTTGTCACACATTTGCCACTATATATTTACAGACTGCCCTTGTGCAGCAGCCAGAATGGCACATTTGCACGGATTTCTCAACTTAAACTGACTATATATTTGTAAACTGTGTAGCTTACTATGAGTGTATATTGACAGCACACACACTACTAAAACATAATTTTTCTTACAGTTAAGAAAGGGAAAACTCTAGGCAAACCTTATATTTTAAAAACAATAACAACACCAGTACATATGTACTGTTTCAGCTTCACATAGCCCATTGCTGGTGTTCTCTTTTACACTGAAGGCTACTGATTCTTGAATGTGTCTTCCCTGGGACACGATATTAACATTTGTGCTCTTATTTTTCTGGAAAAAAGGTGACAAGTGTTGGCATCAAGAGTCAAGACTTATGAAAAGGGAGAGGAGAGAATGTTTTATATTATATATATATTTTTTTTATTACTAGTGGGGTGGGACTAAGGCCCTTGTACTGCGGCCACTTCTGGCCTATTGTATCAGCCCCAGATGATAGGTGAGAGTGATTGTGGAGCAATTGGTGGAATGAAGATTGGTGGGGGAAACCTACCAGCACCACTTTGTCCACCACAAATCCCACTTGACAGACCTGGGATCGAACCTGGGCCGCCGCGGTGGGAAGCCAGCGACTAACCGCTTGAGCTATGGTGTGGCCTTCTATTTTATATTACATTGAATACTACAAACATTTTATTTATTGATTAATGGGTGATCATTTTCCAAGAATGTTATTAATTTATTTTTAATAACTGATTTTTACCCTTGCATATGGCCAGAAAGAAAGACTGAGTAACTTTATTTATTGAAGGCTACTGAAACTACAATTAAAACCAAACACACACATTCAAGATTGAAGCATTACATTACTCATAACTAGGGACCGGATTTTTATGCCCTAATAATCCCTAAAATATGTATGCATTTATGCATGAAAACTTCCAAACTATGCATATAAAAATTTATACCAAATATTAAAATTGATTTTACATTATTTTGTGACCAACAAATCAATATTTAAGTTCATTTTATGTAATCACTGAATGATTCACTTGCAATAAAAAGCGATACTTAAATACAAATCATGCAACAAAGCCAACATATTTCATTAAAAATTTAAAAAACCAATGGTATTCATATTTAGCTCTCTGAACTTTCAACTTCTCTTCTTTGCAGTTCACAATTACTAAATGTTTTAGGTTTTCCATAGTGAGTCGCCTCCTATTGTCTCGCAAGATGTCCTTATAGCAGGAAAAACTTCTTTCCACCTCACAGGAAGTTAGGGGCGCATGTACAAAAGCTGCTATTTGCTCCACTGTTAGTGATTTTTTACTTGGCAGTTCAGTACGTTTACCAGCTAAAATTTCATTTTCAAAAATTTGTTCATATCCTGGATTTTTTTAAAGAATGCTGTGTACTTTTTCCTTTACTACTTCACCAACTCTTCCAGGAACCGAATTCCCTACTCATAACCAAAGACACACAAAACTGGTCTTGATCTAACTGACATAAATGTCTGACTGACTTGAAATGTGTGAAGGAATGGGAATTCATACACTGCTTGTTCATCTGTGTCCTTTCCAAGGGTGATCAATTCCCAAGGGCTCAAGTGGCAGAGGCACACCAACATCTGATGCCTCACTGTATAAAACGTAGTTTAACATGAATTTTGAATTTGTCTTCATTTAGTACGGTATATAATGTAGATAGATTTATAATTTGTTTATGTTTGGTATGACAGAAAAAAACTTTCAAATTTGCAAAGGAGTTCCTTAGGTTGCAAGAAGCTCATGTAGGACGTTGCCTCATGGGGCCTATCCTTAACTTCCATGGAAGTTTCTTCCACTTGCTAATGCCACTCGATAAATGTCACACTATCCCCTCACAAGTGTGTTCCATTCTCATTTTGACTGTCAGACTGTGGGCCCTTATCAGGTCTTAATAGAATTCTGTTTGTCTCTCCACCACTTGTCTTAACATCTGTTATTCTTCCTCCCACTACACGTACTCGTGTACACCACGTGAGAAGCATATGTTAACATTCTAGATATCTCATGTTTCTTTTTGTGTGTTTACTTTGAGTGACAAATTTGTGATATGAAAAGAGCTGAAAGTTTATTAAAAGTCTTGTGTAAATGCTAGACTTTGTACAGCTAGCAATAATTTCAAAGGCAGATAAAACTGCAGTAGAAAATAATGTCATTTTAGTGATGGTACTAAATGAATACCATACATGAAAAGAAGTCCACAAGGAAGTGTTGAATTAATTTAAAGGCAATTTCTAAGTGATTCAGCGCCACATGAATATTTGTCATCATGATTATCAGAGTCTAAAAGAAAGACATAAAGAATGTGGTTGGCTTTTTACACTTGTAGAAATCCAAACTAAAGTGTTGGTCTGTTATTCGTTTGCACAGTCGATGCTGTCAAAAGGCATGTAAGAACATAAGAGCACAGCAGGGGTCCAAATCCCTCCCTAACCCATGGGGGCATTGTGCTTCTACCAATAGGAGGAAGAAGTTCAGCTACAGATCATGGGGGTGGGGGAATGGGACAATTTAAATAACAAATTTTTCTCTTCCCTTAATTATTGACATGGGGAGGGGGTAAATTTTACTTAGTCCTGGCCTCTGTTCAGATGGTCATGAGCTGTCACTGTTCCTTCCATTAATTTGCCATATACTTGCTTGTTTAATCACTGTACATTCCCAGTTATCCAGTATGGTATCATCTACTGATTTTCATTTAATTGCATTCTACTCATATCATGTCATTACATGAAGTTTCATCTAGCATACTAAACTACACAGTTCAGATACATATTAAAGAGAACAGTTTGAGTGAGATACGAGTACATTTGTGCACCTATTGTACAAGAGACCCAATCTTCAGAAAACCTTGATCATCTAATTACATTACACTACATTACATTACACTGCATTGCATTCCATGGATCCAAAGTTAGTCAAAATGACTGTAGGACGTGGAATATGTCATAATGGTTGTGTGTAGTGGCAAAGGTGATTATATTGCACAACTTTTTGTATTTAAACTCCTTCACATAAGCTTTGAGCAAAACCCCAATGTATGTTAACATTAAGTACTATTTCATGGATAAACTGGCTATACATCCTATATATAATATATGTGAAATAAAATGCTACTGACAATCTTTGCATTTTAATATACGGTAAATTGGTGTTAAGTTTCATGGCACATATACACATTTCTGTATAAGAGTTCAGGTGTAAAATACATGTACATGTCAGAAGAATTTACCATTCATTTTATCTCTTCTTTTCCTGAATTCATATGTCATATGTTTTAGATCAATATCTATAAAACATATATTTTGTAAAGAACTGAATAATATATAAATCTTCAGAAAATATGCTTAAAACATACAACATATCAATACTCTACTTTAATACTGAAACAGTTCATGAAATAAACATATTTCAGAGAAATAATATAACAGCTGAACAGTCAGCATTTATGTTTCAAACAAAGTGCAGTAAAATATATCTTAATATAATCTTCAATGAAATAAAGATAAGGATATTTTTTTTTTTAATTTGTTAAAAAGAAGAACTGTTGTTGAAGTATGACCCTAATGTCATTTCACTCCAAGAATTCATCTGTGGATGTAACTGTAGCTTCAATCAACAATCCAAAGTCTAGTTCAGCTAAACTTGCTGTAAATAAAAAATCATTTAGATTAAAAGGAGAAAACTGAAAATCAATAAGTTGTAAGCTAATTCACTGCATTACTATACCTTTTGCTGTAAGTAAATCAAGAAATGTATCAAGAGGAGACAGTCTATCAGCAGAAGGGAAGGCTGCAAGGCCTGCAACATAATCAAATGAAATACACAACCACAATTAGCATAAACAGCTACTTCTTAATGCAAATATCATTCCTGAGGAGGCAGAGATAATGAAAAGTACATTCACTCGTAACACTGAAATGCAAAGGCTGGCACTATGAAGAGACCTTTGGTTTTATTTGCTACAGCAACAAAGGAGTACCACAATCATATGTTTAACCAAAAGAAACAATTAATGGACTAGTTTTTACTTTTCCCATCAAACCAATATACTATGCAGAAAATGGCATGTCATGACCAACTGATTTGGTTACTACTTGTGACAATCTAACAGGAATTTAAGCCCTAGTATCTACCCAAATATTTAAAATACAGTAACTGATTTTCAAACATGGACTCGGACAGAAGATAGGATGCTCCTTATGAAGTCAGGCAGACCAATAACACATAAGTTTGTTACATGGTTGCACTATTTAACAAACTTGGTGTATAATACTTGGATGCTAATTTAGATAATTTACAATTTATGTACCTGTACCTTGAGTTCTGGTCACTATTTTGGCTATGGCATTTAAACCAAATATTTATGGTAATCCGTTTGTAGCTTCCTCTGAAATATTACCTCTAGTGCTGACATATGTAGTTTTAGCTTTTTGTGTTGGATGTCCTCTTGCCTGAGTCCCCTCTACTCCAGACAAGATATTCAGGGCATGCTCCCGAGCTCTGATCATTAGGCTTACTGGATGTGACCACTGATTTAGTAAACGTTTTGCTCTGGACCTTGGCAGAAACAAAAGCAGTCGAAGTTTCTTTCTGACACCCTCTTGCGTATCTTCTGTATCTGTAAAATTCGACTTCAATGAACAATGATGTTAAAGGGAAACAACACAACCATTAATCAACACAGTATGACCTACCTCAAAGCATTAGCAATTAATGATGTAACTACAAGGCCCAAAACAATTAATAATGTACAGTTTAGATACTAAGTGCATAAGATCTCTACAGGTGTAAATCTATATATTTCCACTAAATTGATTTCTATTATTACCCTAAATATCAGTAGGTCTATCATAGTGATGACTTCTGCTTTCTTTCTGCATTAAGCCATATTTTTATGTACAACTTACATTCAAATCTTCGAAATCAGTAGGGCAGATTAGTATTTTCAACTTCATTCTCCTTAATTCAGAGCACATTACCTGCCATGATGATCTTCATCACATCAACCTGCAGTTCAAATACATTCCGCTGGAGGTACTGCAAGAACATACAGAAAGAGAGTGTTCGATAACCCAAATATGTGAAGAATGATGTAAATCCCTGAGGTAAAGGAAATGCCATTGAGTCCACTGCAAAGTAATAACGTTCCAGCAGAGTGAAGAGAATGTAACGTCTTTCTTCATCCAGCTGATCGCTATCAAGAAAAGATACAGTACATGTATGTTAATCAATATGTATCAGAATGTTATACTGAATGTGGAATTATACAGCTTTCTAGTGCAACTCACATGAGTGAAAATCCTCGTTCCTGTTCTTGGTGGGGATCAACAGCAGCACATTGACACAGTAACTGGCACAAGTGTTTGGACATCTCCAATTGAGCTGCTACATAGCGAGTGGCCACTACGTGCACATGCATTGGTGACTGCTTATTGCTGTTCTTTAAAAGGTGCATGCTCAACTCACGCAGGTTCTGAAAAGTAAAGTACTTTATAATAATAAAATGAAAGTATGAATAGATCAAATATTAAGCTGCTTTGTGTTTAAAGTTTAGTTTCATAAAGTTTTCATAGCTAGTCTATACAGATGAAAGAGCTTCTCTGTTACTGAAAAAAGTAGTCTTCACTAAATGTTGCCACAGCTGTCAGTTGCTCTGACCTCACTAGTATATGTGCAATTATAAAGAGTAGATATGTTTTGTCATACAAGTTAATGTTACTGTAGATCAGGCATGTCCAATGCGTCGATCGCAGGATGATTTTTGATTGATCTCATAGGCCTATAAGGGAATTATATGTGAAAAGCATGTAAATTCACTTGTAATATAATATGATTATATTCAGATTTTGAAAGGAAAATACATATTAACACTTCGCAGACCGGACGCCTAGGCCTAGGTGTTTGGGTTTTAAACGTGGCAGACCGGTCGCCTAGATTTAGGCTTTTAGGACACATTATGTTGCAACACACTATTTCTCGCTTTGATGGCCATGTGTCTGTAAAAGTACTGTGTAGTTGACCTTCGGAATGTTTGTTTTCCGAGTCAGCAACGTGACCACTCTCTGTTCCCCTCTCACTCTAAAGAAAAGTCCCTTTGTTCAAGTCGAAGCGTCTATGTGTGAGGCAAGATATTCTCAGTGTCAACATGGCTCAGAGACGAAAGCAGTTGAAGGCCGCGCGAACTCTCGGAGAAGAAGAAATCTGTGATTTGATCTCCAATGAGTTATCTGACTTGCCAACTGCTTTGTCTTCTGATAGCAAGGGCAGTGTCAGTGGCAGTGAGAGGGGCCCCCAAAATATTGTGACCAGAAGAGAAAGTGAAAGTGACAGTGAGAGCTCCGATGAAAGTGCGAGTGCTAGCATTGCGGGGACAGCCACATGGGGTAAAGTGGACAAAACACCCACTTTGGGAAAGTTTACTGGTGATCCAGGGGTGAGACAAATGCCATCGGACCCTACACAAGTGTCTGAAGTAGCTGAACTGTTTTTTGGAAATAGTTTCTTTGACAAATTGTGTCAGGAGACCAACAGATACTATCTCCAACACCGTGAGGCGTACGACAGTACCTATAAGGTGTTGAAGTGGGTGGATGTCACTTCAGCAGAAATGGAAAATTTTTTGGCAATAATCATTCTAATGGGGTTTACAAAGAGGGATAACTTGAAAGACTATTGGTCAATTGATCCATAACAATCAATCCATCAATAACAATGAACTGCAACCACAATCAACAGGCAGGCTTTTCAAAATTCAGCCCTTATTAGACTTTTTCGTTGAGAAATTTCAGACAGTTTATAAGCCAGAGCAGCAACTGTCTTTGGATGAATCTGTGATTCCTTGGAGGGGAAGGCTTTGTTTTCGAATGTATAATCCTGGGAAACTCACAAAGTATGGCCTACTTGTTCGTGTAGTCATGGAAAGCACTTCAGGCTATATCGGAAATTTATAAATTTATTCTGGTGAAGGCAAGACATTGCAAGAAACTATTGTTTCCATTTTGGATCCCTATCTGGATTAAAATTATCACATTTATCAAGATAATTTTTATAACAGTGTGGCAACTGCAGAATACATACTTTCAAGGAAAGTATGTATTTGTGGTACAATTAGGGTGAACAGAGGCCTTCCTCCAGATCTGAAAGAGGAATGTAAATCCCTGAAACGTGGTGACACCACATTCAGGAGGAAGGGGGACATTCTTCTTCAGTCCTGGAGGGATACTCGCGTTGTGAATATGATTTCCACTATTCACAATTCGAGCATGGTCGATGTTCAAAGACGACACGGGCAAGTGAAGAAGAAGCCTCTTTGTATTTCTCAGTACAATATGTTCATGAAGGGAGTTGATAGAGCCGACCAATACTTGGCCTATTATTCCCTTCCTAGGAAAACAGTAAAATGGATGAAGAAAGTTGCCTTGTGGCTTATAAATTGTGCCCTTTTCAATTCATTTTTGTTTTTCAAAGAGCTAAACGAAAATTCAACTTTGAAATACAAGGCATTTCTCATGAATGTGGCAAAATCCTGGGCTACACACCTCACGGTGGCGGCAGAACCTGCATCAGACACAGACGTAGTACGACCGGGACCATCTACTCCCACCCCACGGAGGCCTCATATGGACCCCCCTGGGCGACTCTCGGGTGATATGCGGAAACATACCCTCGTGAAAATTGTGATGAGTGAACAATTGACGGGGAAGTATCCTTCTAAGCAGAGCCATGTGTGCGCTGTGCACAAGAAGCGAAGCAAGACTTCCTACGTCTGCAAGTTCTGCGTCATGCCTCTTCACAGAGGGGAATGCTTCCAGAAATATCACACTCTGGAGCACTTCTAGGAGCTCTGGTAAGTTTTCTCCAAAAATTTTAGTGCATAAAATTAATTAGGAGATTTTATATTAATTTTTAAAGTGAACAGTGCACAAGTTAGGGTAGTAGGTTTAAAAACGCCGATTATCAGGGTGATTTAAATATTTAAATCACCGGTCCGCGAAGTGTTAAAGTAGTCTGTACTTTCAATGTATGTTGCTTTTACAACAAACATTATGTGTCGTGTTATTTTTCGATATTTTTGCTTAAAGCGAGGTACAACGATAGAAGGGGGTGGTAGATCACTGGCAGTTTTGACGCTAAAAAGTTGATCACAACCTGTTTGAAGTTGGATATGCCTGCTGTACATGTACCAACATTTGTAAGGGACTGAGATCATTCACTGTCAGTAAGAAATTAAAAATAATGTATGTCATTTTGATTCGGTTTTTATTATTTTGCAATTCCATTAAATACTAAATAATGATTTTCTTTTGCCATAGATACTTTCTCAAGACTGCCATTACATGATGGCAAAATTAACCACTGATAGAGAACGTTTTGAAACCTTTTCCTTTTTCAGTGGACACCAGTTATAAAAAGCATTACAACAGTATATTGTATTTCTATTGTATTTATATATTTTTGATATTTTCATATATATAATGTAGCTAGTTCTCAAAGGAACGTTTCCTGTAAAATGTTCTGACTTCTTTGCCACTTTTTTTTTGTCTGATTTCTGCTTCTAGAAATCTGAGTATGAATCATGCATGACAGCACAATTCACAATTGAATAAATTCTTTCATTATAATGAGCTCTTTATTTTATTTACAGGAAGAAATACCTCAGTATTCAAAACTCCCTTACTTCATTAATAAAAATGCCTCTAGCAGCAATAACAAAAACACACCTGATTTGTTTCACAGGTCACTACATTCTTTGAAGTTTGGTTGACAAAATTGGTTTGAAAGTTTAAAAGCCAAAGAATAGGAGAGGTACCCTAAAGAAAATGAGGGAGATAGGAAATACATATCAGCTATTTTACCCACAATGGAAAAACAAAATTTCACTTCTGTTCTATTTCACAAACTACTATATTTACCTTATCAGGTTTCTGTATGACTTACCACAGAAATAACATGCTCCTGTTTACTGGCTGTACAGCTTTCGACCTCACAGAATGGCAGTACATCCATTCCTGGACCTTTCCGTGTACCTGTGATGGCAGCAAGATCTGCCAGTGTACCTGAGCCTACCAAACTTGTTCCTGGTGAAAGAGGAGTGCTGGACCTGGATAATGCTTCTGGCTGCAAGAACCAAGCTTATCATTTTCTTGCACTTTGCAGCCCTTTCTGACACTGATTTTCTTATGCTCATGATTTTTTAGATCAAAAGAATAAATTGTCACAAACTGGGGTCAGAGAGGAATTCACTCATGACTGATGTGTGAGTATGAAAATATTTTGTTAAATAATCCACCATCATTCAACATGACCTGAAGGATTATATTTTTTGTGTTTTAAGGACCATATTACTTGAGACAATAATGCAGGAAGCAGTTGCGTTACTTATCAATCACTTTTTTTTTACTGCTAGTGGGGTGGGACTAAGTCCCTTGTACTGCAGCCACTTCTGGCCTATTGTACCAGCCCCAGATGATAGGTGAGGGTGATTGTGGAGCAATTGGTGGAATGAAGATTGGCAGGGGAAACCGAAGTACTCGGAGAAAACCTGCCCCAGCGCCACTTTGTCCACCACAAATCCCACTTGACCAGACCCAGGATCAAACCTGGGCTGCCGCGGTGGGAAGCCAGCAGCTAACCGCTTGAGCTATGGCACGACCATCAATCACTATTAATCACAAGCCAAAGAAATTAACAAAGATACATTTAAATTTATGATAAAACCATAAAAGCAATGTGATCAGTGTAATTTGTTGCTAACACAGTACCTGGTAACATACAAGAGAGATCATGAGTTTGTCAGCAACTAGACTAGGTCTGAATCTTGGTTTCTGCTCCTTGCCTGTCCTCTTGGCGAGCTGATCCCAAAGTCTAGTCCACATATCTACACGATATGGAACTAATCTCTGCTGTGGTGACAACAACATCATGGCAGTATTCCATAATGTTTCTTGGGTAAGAGACATGCTCTGGCGATTTACCTAGAGGGCACATATATTTGGCACAAAAAATAATGAGCAACTGAAATTCTTTAAATCAAGAATTAAGATTCCTGTCATCCCACTGCTTTAAATGAAAATAAACAATTGAGGGGACACAAGTAGTAATGTTATTTGAGACAAAGGGAAATAAACCGATGAACTGATTTTCATTATATCATGCAACTTGACGACTAAGTATAGTGGGACTGATATAATGAGAATTTATGAAATTTGTATAAATGCTCATTCTGAAAGGTGTTAATAACATCTGAAAATGCTTTAAATATATACAAAATCTTCAAAGTCATCCTATAACTTGTAATTATTTATATCATAATGCAAGATTAAGATTTAAAATACCAAGTGTAGGTATGGTAATATTTATTCTCTTTTGAAGTGGCTATAGAAGGAAAAGAAAATAATGAATAATAACTGAACATTCTTAATATTTTTACCATTATCTGAATAGAGAAGTTAAAGTTTTTCTCATACTTCTGCACTTGCAATTGGCCACATATTATGAACCATATTTTTCATAAAAAGTATTTGAAGCATGCCTGCAATGCACAAAGTTAAAGTTAACCACCTCATACACTACATTAGGGCCAGTTATAAATATAGCATGGGGAACGCGGTAGTGTAGTTGGTTGAGACACTATGTTACAAGCTGGAAGGTTGTGGGTTCGAGTCCCGATGAGTTGGATTTTTTTCAATTAACCTAATCCTTCCAGCACTATGGCCCTGGGGTCAACTCAGCTTCTAACAGAAATGAGTATCAGGAATCTTCCTGGTGGGTAAAGGGCAGCCAACGCATACAGCTGACAACCTTATTGCCATCTATGAGCCAACTTTCTAGAGAAAATGTGGGGGCCTCAACGTCTCACAACCCTATGGACCTTCATGGCCTGTTACAGGGATAGCATTTTATTGCTTTGAAACATTAAACCCTCCCTTTTGAATACTGAAAATTCTTAGTGATGTGCCATGAAATGGATGAATTTTGCCTTGATCACTGATCCAATGATGAGTACAACAGCCAATTTTTCCTTGCAAAACACATCAAACAGCACAAATCCTAAATTTTCATTTCCTGTGTTGCACATTTGTTTCTGTGTCACTGGTCCTCCATCACACGGAACAGATGATCATATTCCATCTTTGTTCTTCAAAATGGTGAACATTGGCAAAGAAGAAAATCCACATCATCTTACTATTTCACCCTCTCACAAGCCACTTCACAGAGATGCCTTACTTAAGCTTTGTATTTGAGTCTGAGCATTTGTTTTTTGCTGTAGTTAGGGTTAAACATTTTTTAACTTAAACAACGAACTGAACAACTGAAAACATTTTCAACTTCCATTCACTGGTGAAGTAACACACTGAAATACAATAAGACAAGATATGGAACTGCAGAAAATTTCAGATGAAGTCATGTGATTTACATTATTCATTGGCTAAAATCTGGTGGGGATTTGACACTATTGTACTAAATGCAGTTCTAAAATCATTATACTCTGCTCCATTGTTCCTCAAACACTGGGCCATGTCCCAGTACTGGGCCTTCGTCTTATAGAAAAGAAAAATACTGGGTCACAGTCTGACAAAGGTTGAGAACCACTGCTCTACTCAACTATGCAACATCTGAGGAGCTGAACAAGGTTTTATTCTGTTTTTGCTTCAAGGTCAACTTGATTCACTATTCAGGCATATAGTATTCCAATTTTGGAATGTGGACTTTCCTCTCCTCTCCTAGGCTAGGCAGAGGCCCAATTAATCATACCTCTGTGGACTGACTGACATACATAGTTCAGAAAGCAAAGCTAATAGTACAGCTGGTGCAAAATGTCATGGTAAAAACCTGTTACTAGTTAGGAGTCACATGTAATAAACAAAAGACCAGAAAAGTTTATGTTTTACATAAGGTTTTCAACATACTTAATGTATGAACATTGTAAAATGGACTATTTCCATATCCTGGGTTGTACCTGTACATGGATACACAGAAAATGAATGAATGAATATAAGAGAATTGATGGAGCTGATAAATTTTGTTCTGTAATGAATTTCTTACTATAATCCATATTCATTCTACTGTTGTAACACTGTTTTTGCTGATATGGCTGAGTGAACATCACCACTTAAGACAATTTCTGTATTTTTACATATCATATGTACAATGGCGTACCATGCATGGAAACAAGGGAAGCATTGCTTCCGTAGTTAAGAAACAAAAAGAAATTAAGTCATATATAAATAATTCAATTTGAATAATAAGGATGTGAATATTGTCATTTAGTGCGTGTTCCTGCTCAAGGCCACATGCCTCCTCCTTCTCCCTTCCCCTGCTTGGTGGGATGGACCAAGTTTCCTTTCATTAATCTTCGTAATAATTCGTCTAATCTGAAGGGACCAAGGGAAGCAAATTTCGGTTTGTTGGCTAGGCCAGTGAAGGAATGTTTTTTCAATGGTTATGTGAAAATTAACTGTGTATGTGTGATTTCAGTCTTGTTGAGTGTTATAGGTAACATTAAGTGTTATTAAAATATTGTAAGTGTATATATAGATGGCGTAAGACAGTATTTGTGATTGTATTTTGACGCATCAGAAAAAAGCTATATGTGTTTAAGGAAAGCAAGTGTCATACTGTGGTACAAGGGCAGGGGCATGATTAGACTACACGCACAGGCAACAGCTAAAATGAATGCTAGCAGACAACGCGACTGTGACTGCGCAACCGAAAGCCTTTTAAAACGGGAGTTTAATAGCAGGGACTTTTCTGAAAAGAAAATAATTATAGAAAGAAGACGACCGACATGTGAGTTGCCAGATCTTAAAGCACAAACCAAATTATGTGTGAGGAAATTTAATTTGGAACAGTATTCTAAAACAGAGTGGCTATCGGGTTGCAGTAATATAGGAAAATTGTTTTGTTGGCCATGCCTATTGTTTCTCTTTGAAAAAAAATGTATGGAACAAGACTGGGTTTGGTGATATCAACAATCTTCATAAAGCATTGAAACAACATGAGAATTCTCAGACTCACATTATTTCAACAGTGCAACTTGTTATGTTCAGGAAATCTTGAATTGACTGTCAACTTGACAATCAAAAGTTCCTGATGATACTACAGCATAATGAAAATGTGAAAGAAAATAGAGAAATAATGAAATGCTTGATTGATATCATCTGCCATTTAGGAAAGAGGCAACTTGCCATCCATGGTCATGACAAAAGTGTGGGTTCTATCGACCGAGGTAATTATGTGGAATTAATTCACTTGTTGAGGAAATATGATCATAAACTCAACGTTCACCTTGAGAACAGTACAGTATTTACAGGTTTATCGAACAGAATAAAAAACGACCTTATTGACTCACTAAGTGACATAAATTTTGGTGAGTTGATTGCTATCAGTTCATTTAGTAGATACCACTGCTTCCCTTACCAAAAATAGTACCGCACGCCACTACTTATGTACATATTGTTTGTAATTTTATGAAAGCAGAAAGAAAAACTGAAGTGCAGAAATAAGTACAAAGCTGGTGAACTAACTTTAACTTCCACCTCAGCTACATGAGTGATGGTACTTAGAGGCAGCAGGGCAACAAGTGACATTGCATCAGCAGGTAGATTTCTCTGTGCTGAGGCAAAAGCTCCGCCAATAATCACTTCCTGCAGCAACTGTGGAACACTCAGTTCAAAAGGATGCTCTGCTGCAGACATCAGCAACTGGAATGTGTACACAATTCAGAATGTAAACAAAGCAGTTTACAGTTTCTCAGTTCATTGAACACTGCTATGTGACTACAGAGATTACGGTATAGCACTGATGAGTACTTGCTCAATTTAGAATGAAGCTGTCGGTTTAAAAGTGCTATGCTATTTCCTAGAGGAGCTGAACAAAACAGTGAACAGCATATGTCAGGAGAGCAGTTCTCCAGCACAGGTTTGAATGGTGTATCTCATGAATACAGGACACCCATTACCAATGTGCTAAATCCTCAGTTCGGAGGTATATTCCCACAAATACTGTAATGTCAATAAAACAATTACTTGTTATTTGTCCACATGCATACATTAAGAAAAATAAACTACAAATACAGGGCTATCATAGAGTGTCAGAATGGGGGAGAAGGAATGATGCAGTTTGTTACATGTAACACTGGTTGCAGGTAACTAACCCAACACTGCTATACTCAGTCATGTTATTTCCTGTTCATATTCATGTATGGCAGCTATATGAAAAATGGTTCTGCAAGAGAAGTAAGGAGAAGATTTTTACATAAATTTCAGGATGCTACAGTTCCACATACAAAAACTATTCACAGAACTGGAAACAAATGAAGATAGACAGGGTTATCACTGAATGAAAAAAGAATCAAAAAGCCCAAATAATCACTGGAGAAAGGTTGGATGAAACTGGTGCTATAAGTAAACACTCTCCTCAGAAATCCCTTACTTTGCACAGTAGATCAGGGTTCAAAAACTGTAAGCACACTGCCTCAAAACTCCTTGTAACAGAAACCATTTCAGAAAACAGCAATATATGACTTGCAATCATGTGAGCCCTCTAACATGGTGAATTTCAATAACTAGATCCTTCAGTCCGGGTATCTATGGTTGCTCTGAAATGTTTAGGGATATAATTATTATAATGGGTTGTGGTCAGCATGCTCCTGTGACCTCCATCAGTGATTTTTATTTACAGGGAACCATAAAGCAGATCACAAAATTGAATGAATGAAGAAGAATGTTTGAAGCAGAATTTACACTATTTCCCCTGAATATTTCAAACCATGAATGTGAACTTTTTATGGAAGTGTCCAGAATGCATGTAGAACAACAACTAGAGAGCATTTACATACAACATCTACTTTAATCTAAGTAAGTTTAATTTGTAAATGATGTATTATTATCCAAACTAGAGTTTTATGGTATTAATGGCGGTATTGGAAAATTGATTAAATCTTATCTGAGTGACAGATACCAGAGAACATTAATAAATAATAATTATTCTATGGGTATTTCTGATTGGCAGAAAGTTAAACAAGGTGTGCCACGGGGTTCAATACTTGGCCCCTTGCTCTTTCTTTTATACATTAATGACCTGCCTTACTTAATAAATAAAATATCAAAACCAATTTTGTATGCTGATGATACCAGCATTTTTTTTCCTTGGCACTACAGCCCCAGTGGGCCTAGGCCTACCTCCATGAACTTCTCTGTTCACTTCGGTTTTTCTAGATCTTAGACATTTGGTAGGACTCCTTGGGCGGGTGATCAGTCGTCGCAAGGCCTCTACCTGTACACAAACACAGAAAAACGCACACAAACATCCATGCCCTGAGTGAGATTCGAACCCACGATCCGGCTTCCGAGCAAGCGAAGACAGTGCACACCTTAGACCGCTTGGCTACCGTGACCGGCGATGATACTAGCATACTATGTTTCAATTCTGATTCTGTGGAACATATAATGGTATTGAAAAGTATACTGGACAAAATAGACACATGGTTTATGAATAATTCGTTATCATTAAATTTTAACAAAACTAACTATGTGCATTTTTTATCAAAAGTAAAAGGATGTTTAAATTAAAAATACTTGTAATACAAAATTCCTAGGACTAATCATAGATAATACCTTATCATGGAAAGCTCAAATAAATCAGTTGGTAACTTGAGTGCAGCTAGTCATTCTATTAGAACCCTATCGGCAGTTATGACTCAGGAGAGTTTAAGGATGATTTATTTTGCATATGTCATATGGAATAATATTTTGGGGCAATTCGACTCATAGTAATTTAGTTTTCAAAATCCAAAAAAGAATAGTGAGAAATATTATGAAGGCAAGAAATAAGGACTCCTGTCATCCATTGTTCAGGCAATTAAATAGTCTGCCCTTATATTTTCAATATATATTTTCTGTATCATTTTTTGTAGTTAAGAATTTAGATATATTTAAATTTAATTCTGCTATACACAGCATTAACACCAGACAAGGCTTTAACATACATTTTCCAATTAATAAATTAGCTGAAGTGCAAAGGGTGTATATTATTCAGGGATTAGGATATTCAATAATCTACCACAAGGCACCAGGAATCTATTAAATGATATTACTAAATTCAAACAGGCTCTAAAAGAGTTCCTTCTTGTTGGTTCATTTTATTCTTTAAATGAATATTATGAATGGAACACAAGCGGTGATCTTGGTTCTTATAAATAGTATCTAAAATTAACCGTGACAAGTCCTATTAACTAAAAATATATAAATAATCATCTATTTTAGATCTGCATACAAACCTACTATGAATTTTATTTATTTTAACATACGATCTCTTGTCGTTTTATGAATTTATTTATTTATGAATGTATTTATTACCATAATAGTTATTTAATACACTTCTGAGAGAAGTTATTTATTCCATCTATTGTTGATGCATGTTAGATGTTTCTATAGTTTTTCTTTTGATGTGTGAGTGATGTAACATACATTATTTGATGTTGTATTGTTTATTGATAACATCCATTCATATGCATTGTTTTTATAAACTGGATGAATTTTATAAGATAAATGGTTAATATGTTTTCATCTAGTATTTAAGTCTTGTAGTCACATTTTATTATGTTTAGTGACTGTGTTGTCTATGTTTCATATTAAGTTATTTTGACTTGTTCCAGTGATTGGCTGGAACATTTGTTTTGATTTTTGACACATTCTACATCCAATGGTGTGTGAACTTGTTTCTTGCCCTGTAATTGGATCTACACTCAACTCTCGATTATCCTGGGGCGGATAAACCGGTTTGCGGCTTAACCAGGGCTTTTTTGAGGCTTATATGTTGTTTAATATTCATTCACTTTTGTTTCACATGGTGAGTTGTAACACTATTTTCGCACTAGTGTGAACCAAGCTCTGCAGTTTTTGGTTCCGTTATGCTAACACAATGTTCTAGGGTAGGGGTGAAAGAATGCAAGGATTTGTGGAAAGTTTCAAGGACAGATACACCGCCCCAGTTAGTCTCTTTGTATCGATCTTCAAGTGCATTAGCAAAATGTCAGGGTGTAAAAGGAAGCGTGTTGTGTTAAGTATTCAACAGAAACTTGTGTGAGCCAGGCTTTGAAATGTTAAGCAGTGACGAAATCGAGGAAGAGGTGGACAGTGCTGCTAGTAAGAAAATATCACATGGTGCTGCTCTTAATCATTTGGAATCCTTACTAGACTATCTTGAGGGTGAAGAGAACAGTTTATTAAGTGACAAGCTAATATTACGTAGGCTTCATATGGATATCGGTAAAAAGGAAAATGCCGCGAAAAAGCAAACAACACTATTAAATTTTTTAAGTGTTAAGTGTGAATATTCATAAAAAGTGTTGGATGTTGTTGAACACTGTGACTGAAATAACTAATTCATACTTCAGTGTAATGTAAAAAAGTATTAAATAGGCCATGAGATAACATAAAAACGAGGTTGAGTAAATTTAAATACAGGCAGGTCTATAGAATTATGAAGGTACAGTATTACAGTACTACTTTTAATAAAATTTGTCGTAACAGGGTTTTCGATTAATCGTGATTTCCATCCCCACCATTAGCCTGGATAATCGAGAGTTGAGTGTACTTGAATATAAGAATGAATTAAATTAAATTAAGCTGTAGGATTGTTGCTTGTACTAGCAGTCTGAATCTCTACAGACCCAACTTCATAGACAAAGTGTTCAATTCTTCCATCTGAGAAGCTCAAGTACTTGTTGGATGCTTGAAAATGTATACATTTCATTGTATTACCTCTGATATTGTTTCCAAATCTCCCTGGTGTACTAGAAAGTAATGTAATATTGCAAGCTGGTTTTCTAAAGAATGGTCATTTTTAAAAGTCTCTATAAGGTGTCTAGTGGTCACTGTAAGTGGTATCAGGTCCAAACTTGGCAGGTCTACTGTTACAGTGTTGCCATACTGTAGCAATGGAACAAGGTGTGAAGTATAAAATGGAATCCCTGGCAAAGTGCAGCTCATCAATATATGGCAACATGGTTCATGAGAAAGTCCAATATCAAGGAGATGTGTGAACAAGCCTGGTGCATATACAGCCATATGCTGATCTGCAAAGAAAAGATGCTTAATCAGCAGATAAAAAGCAATATGAGTTAAGTTCGAAATCAGGATGTTAGATAATGTGCAAAACTAGATCCAGTACATGAAAAGTTTGTGAAATGAAGGTCACAGTTGTATGGAAAAGTGTCATGCATGGACAAATGTTATTGCTTTCAGAGTGTCAAAAATGACTACATCAAGCAAGGAACAATATGTATTAAAATCTAAAAAAGGATATCAGGCAAGGTCTGACCACATAACCAGTGCAAGAAAAGTTGGTAAAATTAGCACACTGAGCTACAGATATGTGTTATAATAGGACAATGATGTTGTTGCATTTGTGTGCCAAAAATGAATATATCAGATAAACTACCATTTAGGATAACAATGACTAGGTGGAGAAACAAACTGCAGAAAGACATAAAAAACAAGCTAGGAGACAGGTATAACACAAGTGCTTATGGTGGCAGACAAAAATGGAGGTTTCATCTTAAGGCAAATGCCCTAATGAAAACATAAATGAATGGAATACATCATTTTGCCTATGGTCTACTTAAATCATGAAGATTGAAGTGAACTCTGCATTTAGTATGTCTAGATTAAACACAATCTGATACAACATATGAATATACTCTGCAATCAGTAATTAACTGTTGGCCTAGAGGTTGAAGTATGCTGCATGTTGTGGATATGTTTAGAAAATCAGACAGCAAATCCTTGACAATAATACTACAGTGACAATTTCTGTTTATGCAACTTCAGAGTACACTCACTGCCTCATTTCAGTTCCAATCTTATGTACTTTAAAATATTTTGTCCTGTATGACTTTTACAATAGGCCATTTTTGTTACAATAACAACTTGCATATATTCTTGAAAAATGTTGTTACACCTGATTATGAAAATTAATAGTAGTTACAACCATTCACTACAGATTAACAAGGTCTATGATATCTAAGCATGAGAAGCTAACTTATGACAGGGTCACACATGGGTTTACTACATTAACACACTCTTTAACCGTTCAGCATGGTTTGACGTGTATGTTTCGTCAGGTATTTAAATCGTCTGCGGGGGTTCGACGTCTATGTTTCGTCCAGCTGCACACCTATGTTATAACGCCCATAATAATTGATGGTTTTGCTGTAGATTGTTAGATTTTTCGCTGGCCTGTTGTCAGTAGAACAGAGTATAATAAGCCACGAGTTTAGCTGCGCTAAGTCATCGTTACATATGCCTGTCTTGCAGCAAAATTCCTGTTGCTCTTGCGAGCGGTTTCCTCGTTCAAGCTGTTATGAATGGAGTGTTTTCTTTGCTATGAAGTTATAAACAGCAGAGACGTGATATGTGCTGTGTTTATAATATCATATTGCCCTGAGCTGGCCACACTAACACACTCAATTGGAATTCTTAGAAGAGGGATGTCCAAAAATTTATTCTTGCAAGATCAATTGATTTCGCACAGTACATGGCACCCAGTTCTTAGAAAAACGTCACGAATTAAGGCAGAACACTATGGTCACCCCCTATGACGATACTGGTGTGTGTG